AAAAAAAAAAAAAAAAAAAAAGTCTTGTGCAAATGTTAGTTTCCTTATAGTTTTATTGGGGAGAGGATGTGGGTGGTGGTGACTGGCTCATCTGAGAAAACAAAATTACCCAGGGAAGTTTCTAGAATCTCTTTTTATATACTACTTTCTATCTAAAGAAGCTTTATCCTTTTTAAGAATTAAATATTAGATACTCTATTTAATTCTATTTTCTAATTCTATCCAAATCTATTGAATTCTATCTAGAGAATTCTTTTTTTTTATTTTTTTAGATCGAGTCTCACTCTGTCACCCAAGACTGGAGTGCAGTGGCATGCTTCTGGCCACTGCAGCCTCGACCTGCTGGGCTCCGGCAATCCTTTCGCCTCAGCCTTCCAAGTAGCCGGAACTACAGGCGCACCACCATGCCCACCTAAGTTTTGATTTATTGTGGAGATGAGGTCTCACCAAATTGCCTGGGTGGGTCTCAAACCTGGGCTCAGGCAATCTGCTCGCCTCGGCTTCCCAAAGTGCTGGGATTACAGGCTGAGCCACTGAGCCCGGCCAAGAAAATTCTAATCCTTTAAAATTAGATTAAGGAAAGAGGAACAGTGAGGTTATTAAGCTAAGAATGGAGCTTTTTCATCACAAATGTCATACAGCTATGGACCAAAAAGGTCTTGTGGGCCAGCCAGCCCTGTACACCAGTGGAAGTATTGAGCTGACCAGTGGAAGTATTGAGTTATGCAGTGGTTGGGGAATGTGTGCTGCGGGCCCTAGGAGAGGGTTGCTAAGGTATGTAAGTGGGGAGATGTCCAGAGGACTGAGAGATAGGTTCCTATTATGGTTTTAGCATTTAGCACTAATAACAACAATATAGTTACAATTTATTGTGCACTTACTATGTGACCAACACCATGCACAATTTTATCTCCCAACACATCTATGAAGTAGGCACTATTATTATATCCACATAAGAGTTCAGAAACAGACTCCAAGACTTGCTCAAAGTCACAGGCTAGTACTTGGCAGAGCCAGAACTTGAATCCAAGTCTCCCTGACTTGAAGAGCCCTAAATGGGAACCACTCTGTTAATTGCTCTTATTGGGATCTTCAGAGAGGGGGAGATCCCTTGTTTCCCCAATCAAGAGCCTAAAAGAGTCCCAAAAAGGAAGTAACCTTAATTTTAGTCACTACTTTTCATCTTTTTTTTTTTTTTTTTTTTTGAGTTGGAGTCTCACTCTGTTGCCCAGACTGGAGTGCAGTGGCCGCTCCCGGCCACCGCAGCCTTGACCTGCTGGACTCCGGCGATCCTTCCACCTCAGCCTTCTGAGTAGCTGGAACTACAGGCGTGCACTACCACGCCCGGCTGATTTTTGATTTATTGTAGAGATGAGGTCTCTTCTGCCCAGGCGGGTCTCAAACCCGCGGGCTCAGGCAATCCACTCACCTCAGCCTCCCAAAGGCACGGGATTACAGGCTGAGCCACCGAGCCCGCTGACTTTTCATCTTATTTGAAACAAGAAGTTGCAGGTCAGATTTGGGTTAGTGACCATTCCCAGGGTCCAGTAGTGGGTACCAAGAAAATGGCCTGCACCTGCTCAAGAGGAACAAGTTGATGCTCCTGGGTATTGCCTGACACAGTCCATCCTTGTGCCTCTTTCCCTTTCCCTGAAGCTAAGATTCTCCAGAATCTAACAAAAATCCCAAAGGCAGCTTAGCCCTTAAGTTAAGTTCTGGCTAAGTCCTTTAACCTTTGATTCAATTTCAGTCCCCCCACTGGCCTAATGTGTCCTCAGTCCCTTAGCTCAGTGTCTCCTAGAAGTTCTCGAGCTCTTCTCCTGAAGTTCAGATAAATAAAATCTCCCCAGAAAAAGCAAGTCCTCAGCCTTCTTTAGTCCCCTGCACCAGGTACATCTCAAGGACCCAGCACAGGCTGGTCTACCAGGTTCTTTGTCCTCCCTACTCCCCACTCTTCTCTTGCATTTCTCCTTTGCCATGCCCCTGATGAGTGAGTTTTAGCTAGGATTCCTAATCCGGGTCTCATAGGCAGGGGTCACCATGGAACTTCAGAAGACCACAACCCCTTGAATGAATGAAAAATCATGTAAGTATGTGCATTCTCTAGAGAGAAGGTCCATTGTTTCAACTTAATTCTTAAAAGGTAAAACAGTAGGAATCACTAAGATAAAGGGTAGTGAGATTTTTTTTAAACATGAAAAAATACTAAAGAAGAAATGACTTTTCCTGAACCTAGTGCTCCTGGCACCCTTGCCTGCAGAATATTTTCTACAGTGAATTGAAGTCCTAACATAAATCTGATTACTTTACCACCTTTTCAACAAATTCAAATTCTATTAGCACCCGTTGCGTGCTAAAAATCCCATCTCCCTTTATTCCAAGTCTGCTAGTACTTGGAGTTTGTCTGAGCACTGCTGGTATAGCAGAGGTGAGAAACCGGTCCCCTCCATGACTTCGTGCTGTCTTATGTCTGGCCCCAAACCCACTGTGTGTAACCCAGCACAATTTTTTTGATTTCTGGCACTCTCATCTCTCACTGGTCTAGGGGGCCTCTCTCAGGGTTTAAGTCTTATTTTCAAAGTCAAAACACATACAACTTCATAGGAATAAACTACAAATTCATCCAGGTATAACTAAAACCTGCTCTTAGAGAAAGAGTTATCTCCAGGAGATATAAACTGGCCTCCAACAGGAACATGCAATTTCACATGATCTTAGCATGACCATAGAGTATGGTCTCTGCTTAATATGTATAATGAAATATCTCACTTAGAAGTTTCCCAGAACTAAGGAATAGTTCTTGCCCAAATATTTTTAATTCTATGCTTCTTGCGACATAAAATTGCTTGCATGTTTGAAAAGGCAGGCTTTCATGAGCATCTTTCCTCATCTACTTGCTTAGAAATTCAGCCAGACTATCCTGCTACAGTAAGAAATGATGTAAAAGTACAAAGGGCGTGTTCTTGAATCCTTTACTCCGGTTACCATTTTTTCCCCCTGCATCTAGATTGTCCCCAGAAAGTGAATTCCCTCAGAAAAACAGCCTTTCTGCTTGGAAGCACTGTGCTTATAGAAGGAACCCTGCTCTGTAAATAATGCTGTAATGGTGCCACCTGTTGAGGCATAGGGACATTACAGGGGGAACCTCAAAGTGAATTTATGGCTTTCACTTCAGCAAGCACTACCAGATGCCTGCTAAAGGCCTGGCTCTCTGCCAAATGGTGGGTGGCAGCGAGAGATGGGAACTGAATAAATAGAATGTATTTGAAGAATGTAAAAAATGACTGCAATAAACTCCTAACTGGTCTCCCCTGGCCTCTCTCACATACCTCTAATCCAAAGGTTAATCTTCCTAAACCAGAGCTCTGAACAATCATTCTCATCAGAAATCTGCATTGTGTCCCCAGTACTTCCTAAATTAAGTATAAAATCTTCTGGAAGTTGACTGGGGGAGTCATAGTCCTCCCTAATAAAGCCCTGGCATACTTTTTTTGTTGTTGTTAAACACCCATATATTTCATTTCCCAGCTACGTTTTCTACACACCATTCCACCAGGTCAGAAGACCATATCATCCAAGATAGAAGCTGATATCATACCATGATTCCCAAGGATATCCCAGTTACTGCTGCTGCTATTTCTTCTTCTTCTTCTTCTTCTTCTTCTTCTTCTGAGAAAGCAGGAGATTATTAAGAAGACAAAAAAACTCCCAAGCAGGAGGGGACCCAAAGGAGTGTTACCTTCCCAACTTTTTAAATCCCTGAATGAGCAGTCTGAGTGAGTCCCCTCTGGCCCTTCATTTCTTTTCTGTTAGTCAATTCTTCCCAAGTGCAGTCAGATGCAAATCTCTCTTCCAGAAAAGGAACTTCTGTATCCTGGGTCACCTGCACCAGCCTCTCAGGGATGTCGAGCA